AGCAAATAAAGTGTAATGATATAAATAAAAACAGTATTCTTCCACCAAACAATGTAGTTCCTCAGAAACAGTTGTGGTTCCAACAAAGTGGTTGCCGAGCAACACACAGAAGTAAACAAAGGTGTATGTTTGTAGTGTAATTTACAACAGCTTTGAACGCGGCTCAACCAATCAGAATCAAGGACCGGAACTATCCGTTTTATAAAAAATATTTTTTAAAGGTGTTAAATTCGAGATTTAAAGGTGTTCACTTTTTCTTTTTGAAACCATTGTTTTTGCATTTTATTTTTATGTGTCTAGCATCAAGCAAAGATCAAATCCCTCACCGACTACATGCAGAGCATGGAACAGAAGAAGAGACAGCTGGAGGAAAGCCACGACTCCCTGATGGAGGAGCTCGCTAAACTCCACGCACAAGGTCTTTGTGATGCACATATACTTTTTGTAGTATTTACAATCAATTTGTTGCCACAGAATACTGTGATATTATATTATATTCAAATTCAAACAAGCACAACATGTTTTATTCACAGTGATTTTACTATATATGTAAAAATCTTCTGAAAGTTTTGTGATTATTTTGGTTAATGCAGAAAAGATGCATGAGGTGTCAGTCCTGGATAAGGAAAAGGAACACATGAGCAGGATACAGGACGCTGAGGAGATGAAGGTAATGAACATGAACACTCAGATAACCCTCTCAAACTCAAACAAGCAGAGCAATGTTACAGGAAATCAACCTACATATAGCTGTCTCTGCATATTAAACTATGATAGAAGTATTAAAGGTCAAATTTGAAGATTAATATTGTGCCATTTATATTCAATATGTAAATCCCACGTGCACCTGCATGTAGAAAGCCCTGGAACAGCAGATGGAAAGCCACAGAGAGGCTCATCAGAAGCAGCTCTCACGTCTGCGAGATGAGATCGAAGAGAAACAGAGGATCTTGGATGAGCTGAAGGAGTGAGTATTTATTCCTGAATACTTCTTGTCAGTTCTATAATTGTTTTATATCTAATATTCATTTGTAGTATTTCTTTTGAGACATTGAATACATCTGCTTTTGACTGGCATTACTCCAAATTAATGAACTTATCAAAATAGTTTGATTCATTCAATAATTCCCTGCTCTCAGTGTGAACCAGGCTCTTCAGCTTGAACAGAAGCAGCTCATGTCTGACTATGAAAAGCTGAAACAGGAGGAACAGAAGAAGGACGAGAGGCTGCAGAAGCTTCTGTGAGTCAGCTGCTCATATTAAAAAGTCATATATATTATCTGCTCAAGGAATAAGTCAGTGAAAGATTTTATGAGTGACAATGTTTGTAAAACAGCTCTGTTCCTCTAATAAAGACATTTTTGTTGTAATTAGCTTGTTGAATGAGAAGAGGGAGCAAGCTAAAGAAGATCTCAAGGGTCTGGAAGAGACTGTGGTGAGTAAGATGACATTACCTGGCATTAGAGTTTGTCTCTGAGCACCACCATTGGCCATCTCAGAGTTGTTCATCTTGAATATTCAACCTGTGTATAGCTGTTATTCTTGTATAAAGTATTTTTTTTTAGATCACTGATCATGATGTTTTCTCTTCTACAAGGCCAAAGAGCTCCAGACTCTCCATAGCCTCCGTGTGCTGTTCATCCAGGACATCAATAATCGCATTGGACGAGTGAGTATACAAAACAAATACTGTTCCCTTCTTTCTGAGTGGCAATGTGCTAGCGTTCTCTGTCCAACAGCTTCCAGTTACTACTTCTAATGATGCAACCCTAACCTAACAGACAATAATAGGAATAAGGAAACACATTAAAGCAAGACACTACATGCAAAAGCATTGTTTTTTTCATGCACTGGCCAATACTGAGATTCTGGGCTATTTTTGCTTCCATAAAATGTCTTCTTTTAGACTAGTGGATAGAACATAGCCAAAACACACACATAAGCATTTATTTTGTTACACTTTATCTATGTGCGTCTGTAGATATTAATTTCAATACATATCATTAAAGGCTGTTTTCTAATGCACTGAGCCAAAAATCTCCATTCAGTATTAGGTTTATTCCAATCTAAATTCTGAATAAAATTCTTGTTTTATTTTGTTGAGATATAAGTAAAAGGTTTTTACAGATGTTAAGTTTTTTTTTACATTTTGGATATCTATTTTTATCAATCCATAAATCAGTAAATACTGTCAAAAGCAAGAAAAACAATACCTTTTTACCATGTTTTTAGGAATATAATGTATAAATTGTACAAAATGATATATGTACAAAGTTATCCTCTGTAAAAACCACTAACTCTAATATGTCCACAAAACAAAACAAATTGAACCTGGCTTTATCCAATGTTCAGATTTCTGTTCTGGAATGTTATGCAAATTAGAGCTAATTTAATTTGATAATGCCTCTTTTGCATATTTAAACGTCATTTTAGAAAACAAAGCTAAACACTTTTTCCTAATGTACTGAGTAATCAACTGAGGAAGTATGGTGATATCTGCAGTAATAGTTATAACATTTTTAGCTATTAAACTGCTTTTAAAATGGTTCAAATAAATAAGGTGTAACTGGCCACTGTGGAAAAAAATGACATTTCTGTTTTGTAGAGTGCAGAGTTGGACACTGATGAATCAGGGGGAAGTCTGGCACAAAAACAGAAAATAATTTTCCTCGAGAACAACCTGGAGCAGCTCACTAAAGTCCACAAGCAGGTTTTTAGGATTTTTTTTTTTTAAACTTTTCACAGAAATTACAAATAAATGATTATTTATAAGTTAATATGATATAATGAATAATAATGTATATTATAATATAATATGGTATTAGTAATTCTGTCTATATATTCTGCAATTTCCATAGCTGGTACATGATAATGCAGACTTAAGATGTGAGCTGCCCAAACTGGAAAAGCGCTTGCGTGCAACTGCTGAGCGTGTGAAGATCCTGGAGTCTGCTCTGAGAGAGGCCAAAGAAAGCGCCATGAGAGACCGTAAGAAGTACCAGCAGGAGGTGGACCGTATCAAAGAGGTCATCCGAGCCAAGAACCAGGCCAGGATGAAACACACCGCACAGATCGGTCAGAGCTGCTTCATCTTCAGATCTCAATGTTGCATTATATCCAGTAGAGGCCGCCACATACTCAGTAATACCACCTCGTCTCCTGTTACCTGATGACCAAACCCTCTCATGCATTGCTGCATGTCTCCCATATATTATGCATATTCCATATATGTATGTGCACATATTCATTTACTTTAGATTCTATTCATTTACTTTAGATTCTATCTGTAAGTTAAAAGTTTTTTTAAATATGTTTCATTTTGAACTGCACTGTTTCTTATAGCTAAGCCTATTCGTGCTGGACATCATCACTCAGTGGCTTCTGCCTCACCGGGCCACAGTGTCAGAGGGGGCGTCCCAAGCCCACGACAACACCACCAGCACCAACCGCAGCACCATCACAGGAGCAAGTGAAAAACACACCACGTAGGTTTGTTTTAAAACACTCTTTTGTTGTCAAATGAGCTTTTTCTGCTACAGCAATATGTATTGCTTCATTTTAACCCTGAAACGACTGGCAAATTAAATCATATTCTGAAATAGTATCATATTTGGTACATCAGGCTTTTATGATTCATATAGTATGATATAAAATGCATATAAATATCAGTTGTCACTCTATATCTCCCAATAATATGTCTTATTTGATACATGCTCACATTTTAACATGATTTTTTAGTAGCTTCAATATTACTAATATTATAGAAATTATTCTTACATTTACTTTATAAAAATCGGTAAAGATTTTACAGCAAAAAGACGTGTACCACAAACTGAAGGTGGACATTTTTACAATTATACTGAAAGTTTGGTTTATACTTTTTTACTCATAAAAGTATAAACTATCAATCGGATGACAGAAGGCATGTAGAAGATTGTTTGCAACAGGTTTTTCAGTTTTGATAATGTATCAGATATGATAGGGTTAAGTCATGGAGCCATGTCATGTTCCTTCAGATGCATGTGTTATTCTTCTTAATTTGACGTTGGAACAAGCTTGCGTGATTCTGTTTGGCTTAATGCTGAGATGAATGGGTCAGTGCTGAAAAATGTTGCTAGTTAGGTTTCCAGCATGTGATGCATCTGGGAAGCACAAATAACTTTAGTCGGAAAGTTGTGGCGTAACATTAGTTACTGTGCCAACTGTTTGACAAAGATGAAGCAACATGGTTATAATAGCTACAAAAGACTTGTGCCCGAATGCTTGGGAAAGTCAGTGAACTGTGGACAGTGTCTAGTGCCATCTGGCATTCGCTGAAATGTTGTCAAAGTTTATGGATCTATTTCAGACTCACTTTCGTTTACCTAGTCAGGAAGATTTTCTTCATGTTCTGGGTTACAAGAAAAGCTGTTAGTCAGTAATACAATGTTTAGGGTGGGTTTTCTGACAGGTTTCCTCCCAATACGGCGTGTCTAACTCTTTACACTTCCAACAGGAGACAAAAAATAAGCGGTCTGATACCAGTCTGCACATTCTTTCCTTTCCAGCTATGTGTGGCAACAAGAAGACGTCTTTTTCCAATGCAGTCTGTTCTATTCAATGAGGGGGGGAAAAGAACTGCTGTCATCTTATACTAAGACTTTTCAAGTTCACTTCCTGTCCTTACCATGACCTCCATGCATTCATTCTGTTTAAGTCGAGATTTGTGGACTCATCTATGAATAAACAAAACCAGACCCACAAACTAAGACTAAAGGATATTTTCTTTTAAAATGATTGAAGTGCTATTTCATTGCAACTTTTTTTTTTTTTTTTTGCCCGGAGTCGTTTTGTATATGAAGAAGTCTTCAGTGTTTCTATCACATTCTGATTACAGTAATTCGGCTCGTCTGTCATTACACATGCCAGGTTAGTTTCCATAGTAGGAAGTCTGGGAGGATGAAAAGTTGTCACTAGAACCTACACTGGAAGTTTTGACACCCTCGTGAGTAACATTAAGAGCTTTCTGTGGTTCTTTTAATGGGCACTAATTCCTTCAGTCTTGATGGCCATTGAGAACATGCAGTGACATGACTTAGGAATGTATCTTAGGAACACACACATTGCTTCAAGCTTAATTCAGTTTATTTTATTTACATATTGTCTTTTGTATATTATTTTTGAGTTCCTCACAGTAGATCCAGGTTGTCATGTGTAGACGTTGTTATGCAGATATGGGTGCTTTAAAAATTTTAGTCACTGTTATTTATACCGTAAGGTGCTCTGGAGCAAACAACAACTGTAAAATATCAGTATTAATACCACATTAGTGGGAAAATCAGGAATAATTTCTATATTCCTGTTATTAAACTGACCTGTTTTGAAGGGCATGAAATGCAATCATTTAAAGAAAGCCAAAGTCAGAGACATGACAGCTTCACATATGAAAAGATAAATTAAAGAACGCAAATGTGGAGAGATTTTACAGCTGATTGTTCTTTTTGCATTTTATGTGCTGAATTATACTGCATAATTTAATTTTGCTTATTTTCATATAATTATTTATTATTCTTGATATCATTATAATATGAATGAAGGATTCTTTAAAAAAAATAAAAAAAACTCCAATGAAGAGATATCATAGATTTTTTGAAGAATCACAAATATTGTTTCATCAGGTAAAATATGCTACCATGCCATAGCTATTTACAATCTTGTGCTAATACTGTACAAAAATGTTGCGTACTAACTTGTCTGGTGTTAATTGTCTCCGGTCTATACTTCTGCGTCTATACTTAGCATTGTTTTTTGTTATCAGCTGTAATGAAGTGACATCAGTACATGAAAATGTTAATATGGTGAAAACTAATTCTTAATCAGTTTAATGTAAAGACTGACCAGCTCCATGATAAGTAATGTGAACACTTTCTTGCACTCTCTTGTTGGATGTTGTGAATTGAGGAAGAAAAACACAAATACTTTCACAGAAATTCAACTTAGTTTCTATTTGAGAACCTGTCCTATCAAAAGAACATCATAACTGAAATAATTAGTTTTTCCTATTTAAAAGATCATCTAATGTAAAGCATACAAACCACATAACCTAACAAGGTCTAGTGTTTTTGTATCTATGTCCTTGTACTGTTTTTTTCCATGTAGGCTACAGCTCTATTGTGATCACTGTACTGCACACAGAGACCTCTTCAAATCGAGTTTGTCTTCAGGTTCTTGTTAATCAGTGTTTCTAAATTTTCTGAAATGTGTTCTATAACTATAACTTTACCTCAGCAGCGTATGGAGCATTTGAAAACGAGATATTAAAGAACATGGAATGAACTTCAAATGACTCAGTTGTTTTGTAGGTGAATGAAGTGCCACAACAAGGATATGAAAAGGTTTCTAATGTTTGTTTGTTTCGAGATCATGCTTAAAGCGCACGTGTTATGGATAACAGGGTTTTACCTACAGAGTGTGACACTCATTTATCAGATGTTGATGTGGAATAAATTGAATGTGTAAAAAAAGTTTACTAAATGTATCCTGCAGCAATGTTGTCTTCTCTTGGCAAACAGTTTTACTTCGCTGTAAATTGCTTTGAGGAAAAAATAAACATGGACAACTTTATGAAAACCTATGTTGGTGTGCGGATAATTTTGAGTGGTGACAGCTAAAGTACAGGATCAAAGCAAGTCCACCTTTTCTGCCAATCGATTCTTTTGAACAATTCGTTTCAAAGAACCGGTAAATAGATTCAAATTTACTGTAATCATCCTTGTGAGCATATTACAACATGATCTAAAATGTTCTAATAAATCCATATGTAGCAGGTACATTACTTTTTGTTGTGTTTTATTACGTTTTTAAGAGTGTTCGGCCGGTCAGTCACTGATCTGGTCCCAATCCAGTGATTCAGTTCATGAATCGAACATGTCAGAAATACGGTTCTAATGAGTCAGATTCGAGAACCGCTTTAGATGTGAGCTGGTTCAACTGATTCACTAAAATATTTGACTCAAAAGAAAAGGAATCCTGACGTCGAGACCCAGTCGACCAATCAGAGACTGTGTTTGTGAGAGCGGCGAGACCAGGGTGAGACGCGAAAAACCACAGCAGCAAATGCACTCATTTTGTAGTTGATTGTGGCCGTGTTGTCCCAAATCGCTGCAGAGGGGATGCGGGTGACCTTCACGTACTACAAGGAGTTGTGATTTTATTTCTGTACATGTGAATGAAATCACACACGTCGACGGTGAGTATGCTTTGAGCTCTTTAAGTTTGACAGTTAAACTCTAGGACAAACGCTCAAGATCTCTTTGCCAACACCAAACTCATGAACGAGATGTCAACACAGCGTGACTTATTATTTAACGTTAAGACACTTTTACATTATGTTAGTCTAAATCTTTTACACAACCGACTTGGATCTAATGACCACTCCTGCTAGTTGTCACACGTTTTATTTCACCGAACACTCAGCATGATGTTATTTTATAACATAGGTTTTTAGACACACCTTTAAATCTTGCTACAAAAAAATAAATAAATAAAAAATAATTGAACATTGCCATCGACATCGTTATTTGCCCGGGGAAAATGCAGATCATTGAAGCATGTCGGGATATGTTCACGACACTATATTTTAAATAAAAATGCCATTATCCACAACATGCAAATTATATAGACTAGTTAATTATTTTTTTTCTTCAAAATTTGAACAATAAATAAATAATAAAACTGAAGAAATGAAAAGGTATAAAAAAAAATTTTAATATTTTTGGCCAATTGTATTTTATGAATTTATAATTTATTTTTTATCATTTATAAAATTACAACATATGTGGCATTATAACCCCAACCTGATATTTATGACAAATAACCTTGTCCTTCATTGTAGTATAGTTATTTAAGCAATATCAGAAATGATTGGATGTTTAGCTTGGTTGACATAATTCATTAAAAAAAATATTACTTTTAGTTTTTACTTGGGTGTCTGAAACCACCTTTCATAAGCATTGCTTTAGAAAAAA